TAGTGCCTAAGGCACTTGACTGCTAACCAGAAGGCTGGCGGTTCAAACCCACCAGCCACTCCTCAGAAGGAAGGTTGGGCAATCTACTTCTGTAGTAACACTGTCTGGGAAACCCAAGGAGGGGTCGCTATGAGTCGGGTCCAACTCAACGGCACATAACAACAAGTAAGGCCAGAAGGCCAACAGTTACGGTAGAGCAGAGATGAGAAGGCACATGGTGCAGGCCTCACCGTGCTGTTGATGCTGGCTAACAGTTTGCCGTTGAATTCCACCATAGAGTACACGGCTCCCTTCACCTCCTTTTCAGCCACAGTCTGGAGTTTTCCTGGGGAGAACAAAGATATTCTTTGAAAAGTCTCTGTTACGAGCCCACACTCCACCTAGTCAGAAGAAATCCTCTGGCTCTAATTCTTGCCCCATCACACCACTCATTCGAAAAGCAGGAAACAGTCAGTACACGTTACAGCCCAGCACCACCCAAGTACAAGCCCCAAGGTGACGTGCAGAGATCCCAGATGGTCTCCCAGATCTATTTCCCACTGAAGCCCCAGCTCACTCAAGATGAGGAGCCTCCAGCTGGGGACAATTTCATCTCAGCCATCTGCTCTGTGCTTTCTGGGCTGACAGGAAGCATTAGGACTGTCTTGGGTATGGGAGATGGTGAAAGATACAGAGACATGCAGACCAGCTGCTGACACTGGGGGGAGGGACTTCAAGGGCTGAGCGACCAATAGGGAAAATTGGTCTAGGATTCCTAACTTACTCCAGCCACTAGATTTCTCCTACCCGCCGTTCACCTCTTCCCCTTTTTTTCTGCCATTCAAAGAGGAGAAAAGGAAGAAACATAAGCTAGAGCCTACTTGTGCCTCTCTGCTAACCTGCTCCACAACGCAATCAGACCATCAACAGCTTGAAAAGAAACAGCAAGGAACCTAAGGTCTCTCACTGTTTAACTGAACTCTCAAGTCAGACAGTCTGCTTGCTTCCCCGGATGTCGCATGCCCCAGAGGCCACCCACTCACTTACCATCCGAATACTGAAAGACCACGATACGCCCCTGCTTGGGCTCTGCCTCCTCAGGATACACCATGGCTGTGCCCACAATGAAGTACGTGTTGGGGTCTTTGCCCAACTTGCAGGACACCAGGCTGAGGGCATACTCGTTCTGCAGAAACTGGTGGGCATGAAGCACTAGGAGGAGAGTGGAAGGGGACCAGAGATGACTGGCTGTTTATACGGCAGCTGCGTCCCCCACCCACACGTAACCCACTGCATCCATAAGGCCTGCAGCTCAGCACGAGCAGCGTTCAGGGGTCACAGGGCACTGCTGCCGCTCCAGTAACCCCTCACCAGTCTGGTCACCAGACTGTCATGCCTACGCAGTCTCTGCCGACACGAGGACACCCAACACGCTGGACTCAGTGCTGACAGAGGCCCCAGCCCCGCCTTCTCCTCCTCCGAGGATGCTCGGCCACACTATCAAAGCTTGGAATGATCGCAGCCCAGAACCACCTCGCTGAAGCACCGCGGAGGAGCTCAAGTGCACCTTCGAAGGTGTGCTGGTCAATGATGAGGAGGTTGTGCACCTCCACCTCTTCTCCAAAGGAGGTCTCGTGAGGAGCTGTGCTGCTGGAGAAGAGCTTGCTGGAGCTGACGCTGCTGGACAGGGCCTGAGAACAGAGGGAGGCGCCGCGCTCACCCCCGTGTGCTGGCACAGCAGCGCGAAGGGGCCCGTCAGGGTCAGGGAACAGAGGCTGCAGTCTAAACGAAGAGAACTCTGCTGACCCTCGAGTTCAGCCTGAAGGACAGAGTGCTCCAGGGAGTCTGAACTGAAAGTAGAGGCCCAATTATGTACAGAACGGATACGTCGGCCTACGACACAGCAAAACCTAACGGTCATTAAAGATCCCTTTGAGGGCACTGAACACCAATAACCAAAGACCAGATGAGTTATGGGATGACATCAAGAGTACCATACATGAAGAAAGTAAAATGTCCTTAAAAACACAGTAAAAGAAAAGACCAAAATGGGTGTCAGAAGAGACTCTGAAACTTGCTGCAGAAGAGAGTAGCTAAAGCAAATGGAAGAAATGATGAACTAAAAAAGGCTGACTAGGAAGATCTCAAAGAGTGGCTCAAGGACAAATTACTATAATGAAACGGAAAGGCCTTCTACTCTGGACCAAGGAAAGAGACCCTACGCTTGGGAGCAAGAAGGGCAGAGAACGCACGGGGAATAAAAATCAGCTACCACCACCTCAGAGGCTACTACGTGCAGCTCGAGACTGTCCCACTATTTTCCTCTTTCTACAGATGGGAAGCCCGAAGTGAAGGCTTGCCCAAGGTCACACAGCTAGTAATCACCTAGAAGCTAGTCTGTCACCTCCAAGTCCCGTGCTCTTCCCCATACTGCTACACTGCCCCCAAGTACGCGTACCCCGCAAGTGCCCAAACTGACAAGAAAGGCACCATTCATCCTGTTAGGCCAATGGGTAGCAAACCCATGAACCGCTGCTCTTACTCCCAAGTTCTCACCCTTCTGATGCAGCGGCTAAATCCAACCCATCATTGGTTTTTGCAAATAAAGACTTCCTGGAACATGACCATGCCCATTTTATTCACCTACTGACTATGGCAGAGCTGTCTGTGACTGAGACCATGCGGCCTGCAAAGCTCAGTATTTACTATTCGATCTTCTCTAGAGAGAGGCTGCCAGCCCTGCTCTACTGGCCTCACCTGGGTGCTGGCGCTTGGCCTCAGAGCTGTCGTGCCTCCACTCGTGTCCTGGACTTCAATCCGGCTGGAGAGGACCCCGAAGCACTGTGACACTTCCTGATAGCAGATCTTCCTGCCCGCCAAGTGTGGGATGACAGTGCGTCTTAGGAAGAGCCTGCAGTGCTCTACCCTACCCCCACGCCCGGCTCCCCGGCCTTCCCTGCAGCCTTCCCCCCCTGGCCCTCACCTGGGAGACTCGTAGAGCGGCACGGTGCGAATGTGCAGCTTCTGAATCTCGTCAATGGTGCCGATGGTGAGGGTGCTGTTGTTGGCCAGTGCCAGGCTGCAAAGAAGGCGCTGGGTTTAGAATGAGCACACCGAAGGGAGGAAAGGACTCTACAAGGCAACTCCGTAAGGCAGAGGTACACCAACTTCCTCCAGGGCCGCAGCTCTTCACTTGGACTCTAGGCTGAAAAATCGCTGGAGGAGAATTTGTAAAAAGCTGCCACCTGGTCCCACTCTAAAGAGATCCTGTTCATTGGTCTGGGTAGGCCTAGGCTGTGATTTTTTTTTTAAAGCTCTCCAACCAATGCAGCCAAGGTTAGGATCAAAATCACTGCTCTGGAACAGTGACTGTGAGACTACGGCGTGCACCAGCTCAGCTGAAGGGCTTGTTGACACAGATACTGGGCCTCTCCGCTGGAGCTCCCAATGCAGCAGGGCTGGGGTGGAGCCTGGGAATTCCTAATGGTAACGAGTCCCAGAAGAGGGCTGCTGCTGGTGTGCGGCTCTCACTCTGAGGACCCCTGCCCTTGATCATGTACTGATCTCTAAATGAGGGACCCTGAAACCTGGCTACCCATCTGAGTGACTCGAGAGGTTTCCTGAAATGACAGGTCGTACGGCCCCACTTCAGACCTACTCCATCAGAATCTGAGAGGATTTAAAGACAAACCAAAACCAACCAACAAAACCCCACTATATTTTAAAACAGCTTCACCAGCGTTTCTAATGGGATTTGGGAGCCTCAGCTCTACAGATGCCAGCTTCCCTATATTTACTAACAATGGAAAACACAAGAGGCAGGGGTTCAGAGAGCCTCTTGACGCCATCAGGCGCGTGCTGAGGAACAGAGACTCACCTGTCGGGATAGCCGTCTGAGTTGAGAGGACACATGTAGTTCACTTCCTTGAGGTTGACGTTGGAGAAGACCAACTTGTGGTTGCTGCTGTAGATGACAGTGGGGCGGTCAGAGCAAGCAAAGACGTTGGTGGTGGAAAGAGAACGGAAAGTCCTCAATACCGTGGGCTGGGTGCCCAGAGTCACTTTCTTACGGTCGCTCAACAAGCCTACAGAAAGAATGGCATGAGGAGAAGGAAGCAAGGAGAGGAAACAGGACAAAGAGCTGGACTGGGAAGGCTCCAAAGCGGCACCCCAAGGCTAAGAGCTCTGTGCACCTCTAGGATCTGTCTCCCAAAGACCCCTTGGGCCAAGTGCTGTGCTCACCTGTCTCGATGCTGAGCCCAAAGTAGAAAAGCGCCCCATCTCCCAGGGCACAGAGGAGGTAGTGGCTACTCTCAAAGGTGGTCATCAGGATGGAGCGGGGAATGATCTCTGTAAGGAAGGGCTATGGTAAGTTCCTGCTCCCCGTTCCCAATCAGATCCCACCCCAGGCCTCCAGCAGACACACACCTCCACCCAGCATCTCCTTGTGCAGCAGTTCAAAGGAGGGCAGTTTCAAGATACGAGCTGAGATGTCTGTCCAGAGCCCAATGGCACAAAGAGGGGACAGCCCATTGCTGTCCCCCAGTGGGGTGATGTCCAAGCAGGCCACTTCATGTTCCATCTCTGTGTGGCTAAAAGGAGAGGAGTATGGCACAGGAGGGAACCCGAGGGTCAAAGCGGCCCAGGGAAGAGCAAGGCAGCCAGCGCACCCACCTGGTCTGCCGCAGCTCCTGAGGGTGGATCTGCAGGTAGTAGAGGGCCCTCCCCACGGCCACCACCACCTGGCTGCTGTTGCAGGAGGCCACGCTGATGTTCCTGCCCTGAGGCTCCTTCCATTCACTGACCAGAGCTTTGGGTTCTTGTGAGACCAACCTCACAGAGGCGGAGGTGATCTACAGAGAGAAGAGATGTCTCACACCCCTGCAGGAGCCACACAGGAGCAGGAAGGTGCACACACTGCCCTCTGTGAGGTCTGAGAATAACCTACATAAGTTCTCTCCTGTCAAATGCACTTTTTCCTCCCAAATCCTGCAATGATGAATTACTACTACAGATGTCATTTCTGGATAAACCCCTGGAGAGGAATGGTTTAAAGCAGCTTATAGATTTGGGAGCTCTGGTAGCATAGTGACTAAGACACTTGCCTGCTAACCAGACGGCTGGTGGTTGAAACCCACCAGCCACTCCTCGGAAGGAAGGTTGGGCAATCCTACTTCCGTAGTGATACTGCCTCGGAAACCCAAGGAGGGGTCGCTATGAGTTGGGGCCGACTCGACGGCACATAACAACAACAACAACAGGATTATTTGCTCAGCATAGAGATTGAATAGGTATAGTAAAAGGATACAACACGGACAAACTCCCTTTTTGATTTTAAACCATGCAGTACCCCCTTGTTCAATTCGAATGACAGCCTCCTG